ACCCAGCACAGCATCACTGGGTACAGCGTCACTGGGCACTGTGTCACTAACTACAGTGTTACCCAGCACAGCATCACTGGGCACTGTGTCACTAACTACAGTGTTACCCAGCACGGTATCACTGGGTACAGCGTCACTGGGCACTGCGTCACCAACTACAGTGTCACCCAGCACAGCATCACTGGTTAGTGCCACTGCTTACACTGTCACTAGTAACAATCCTACAGAGCACAGTATCACTGGGTACAGTACTGGGTGCAATGTCTTCAGTTAGTGCCAGTGGTCATGGTGCCAGTGGGCACAGCCTCACTGATTAGTGCCAGTGGTTACAGCAGCATTAAGTACAACATCACTGGGTACAGTACCACCAGTTAGCGCCAGTGGTTCCGGTGCCAGTCATGGTGTTCTCCAATCGCTGGATAGGGCAGGGTGTGGAATGTTCGGGGCGGGGGTGGTGTCTGTGTTTCTCAGTGGGCCTGGGTTTGTGGGGCAGAGGGCAGGGCTCGCTAACAGTGGTCAGTCTGTACCTTGAGGAAGCTGTACATACAGATGGACATCCAGTTGGTGAGCATCTTCTCCACCACCGACTCCGTTCGCCGTAGCATCAGCTTGGGGTTCTTGGAGGCTGACGCATCGATGAGGTCAACCAGCAGCTCCTTCATGATGCTGGTGTAGTATTCCAGCTTCCCGTGCAGTGCGATGGTCAGTAAAGAAGCCAGATTACACCTGGGGTGGGGGGGAACAAACAGCACCCAGCGTTATCCCCAGATCACAGAATCGTTATGGCGCAGGAAGAGGCCATCCAGCCCCAATCCTAGTGCCAATCTGCAGCCTTTGCCCATTCCCTGTACGCCATTTCTACTCAAATAACCACCCAATGCCCCTCTTGAATGTCTCAATTGAACCCACCTCCCCCACGTTTCCAGACAGTGCACTTCACACCCTAATTGTTCACCACATGGAAAAGATTGTTCTCTCATTCCCCCTTCGCTCTGTGCATCATGTTGAATCTATTCCCTGATTTTCTTGTTCCTTTCACAGGCAGGAACGATTTCTCCTTATCCACTCTCTGCGTGAATTTTGAAAGCCTCCAGCAAATCTCCTCCCAGCCTCCTTTCTCTCCAGGGAACGCAGTGCCAACTTCTTTAACCTATCCTCATAGCTGACGTTTCCAATAGCCTGCAAAATTCTAACAGGAGTGGAACAGGGTAAATACAGGAAGGATGTTCCTGATGACTGGGGAGTCCAGAACCAGGGGTCACAGCTTAAGGATTTGGGGTGGGCCATTTTGATTTAATTTGATTTGATTTATCATTGACACATGTACCTTGGTACAGTGAACAGTTTTGTTTTGTGTGCAGTAGAGGCAGATCATACCATACAAACTGCATAATGGCAATAGAACAGAGCAAAGAATACAGTGTCACAGCTGCAGAGATGGTGCACAAAGAGCGAGATCAACATTAAATTGGAAGCTGGGGAGGTCCATTCATAAATCTGATAACAACAGGGAAAGAAGCTGTTCTTGAACCTAAAACAGAAGTTGCTGGAAAAGCTCAGCAGGTCTGGCAGCATCTGTGGAGAGAAATCAGAGTTAACATTTCAGGTGGAGTCACCCTTCCTCAAAATACTGTTCTTGAATGTGTCGGTCCGTGTGCTTAAGCTTTTGTATATTCTGCCCAATGGAAGAGGTTGGAAGAGACGGAAACGTGGAGGTGGCGGGTGGGGGGTGCGGGTGGGAGGCTGGGAGAGGGGGTTTTTGATGATGTTGGCTGCCTTTCCGACACAGTGAGAGGTAAAGATGGAGGTAGAAGTGTAGATTTCAGACTGAGTCAAGGAGAAATGTCTTCACCCAGAGAGTTGGGAGCCTGTGGAATTCTCTGCCACAGACAGTGATTGAAACCAAGGCATTGAATGTTTTCAAGAAGGAGTTAGATATAGTTCATGGGCCGAAAGGGACCAAAGGTGAGAGAGCAGGAACAGGTACTCAGTTGGATTATCCTATCGAATGGCAAAGCAGGCTCAAAGGGTCTACTGTTGCTCCTATTTTCTTGTTTTCTCATTCTTGGAACTATTTTTATAAATCACTTCAGCTCTCTGTCTCTCTTTTTCTCCCCAATGTATTCACATCTATCCTATAATGTGATGCCCACAGCGGTATGCAATACTGAGATTAAACAAGGCTCCAGTACCATTTTGACATCACCTCCCTGCTCTTGTACTCTACGGTAACATCTCAGATATTTATAGGGCTGCTCTCTCACTGGAAGGAAATGACACATGGTGGTTTAACCCAATGGTCACCATGCCTCAGTCAAGGGAAGAGGTTGAGAAGGAGAGCCCCTCATTGAACCCGCACCGTTAGTGTCACTCTGCATCACAAACCAGCTGTCCACCCAACTGAGCTAGCCAGGGTGATAGAGATTGGGGAGTGGGGGGAAGGTAACAGAGACATGGCAAAGGGATGGGAGGTAATAGAGACAGAGCGCAGGGATGAGCGAGTAACAGAAAAACACAGCACAGGAATGGCGGGGTAACAGAGACAGGGTACACGGATGGGGGGTGGTAACAGAGACAGAACATAGGGATGGGAGATAACAGAGGGACATGGCACAGGGATGGGGGTGGTAACAGAGAGACAAAGCACAGGAATGGGGGGTAAAACTGAGACAGGGCATTGAGATGGG